GAGGATTTGGCCTATGAGGCTGCAGTGTAATGATCTGCTACATTTTTACGTCTAGAACCAATACTGGGCTGTACTAGCTCAATTCGAAGCTTTTCTCCAACATTGTAAATATTGCTGCCAATACGAAAACCGCCATAAAACACTTACACTTCTCAAAACTAACACTCACACATTGTCAACGCTTAATAAATGGTGACGGGTAAAAAGCAAAGAAATAAAATTAAGATTAAATTATAAACAAAAACAAAAAAGAACCAAAAATGTTCCCGGATCTCTAAAAAACACAGAGAGAAAGAAAAAACAAGAACCCAAAAATAAATTACAAAACATAAAATAGCTTTTATGTAAAATAAACGGGCATTTCTAGTTTGTGAAAAAGAAAAATATAAAATAAGACAACGAACTTAAATCTAAACCCCCGTCATTCGAATTGAAATGGCTGATCTGGCGTGTAAGCCCGAAAGCCTGTTACTTAATTAACGATGAAACCTTTAATTGCTTTAACGACTGTTAGCGATCGACAAAACTATTTAGTCTAATCAGATTACGGTATTTTTTTTTTGTGAATATATACACTTTTTCCCATACAAGCATACTTATTTGGTATACAATTTCGGCTTTTAGTTGACATTTAAATTGCTGGACGTCCTTTTGGGCTTTTGTGACATAGAGAAATCGGTGTGTGAAGATCACTTAGTTTTTCTCCATCTTTAAAATGCTATAAATATTTTAAAAAAATATTTCATTGAAATAAATTAAACAGTCCTCCTTTGATTTTTACTGTATAAAAGCGTTCACAAGAAAATAAAGTACGTGATCTTGCTCAAGGTACAATATTCTCAAATAATGTATTTATATACTCGTATGTTCCAAGAACAATGTATTTTGTTTTATCACCATGGAGTGCAGGAAAAAAGTCGCACAATACATATGGCAAGAATAAGTGAGTGGCAATGTCGATATGCGAGTGTATTAAAGAACCTGATCTTGTTGATATTGCTGTCCGTTTGGCGATGACTCAGCGCTAATCGCTGGTGACTAGAGTTGTTCAAGCGAATGGAAACTACTATTCAAAACACGTTCACACCGTAAAACATAACGTGTAAAGAGAGAGAGAAACAAAAACTATGGTCTTGGACATGCAAAAAAGAGTGACTTACTCATGATCAAGCTGCCACTTCGATATTGAAAAATAAAAAAAAAATAAAAAAAATGTTAATGCCAACCGAAGGATGAAAAATCAAAAGAAAAAGATTAGGTGATCTGTAGTGATAAGAATTTGAAGTGGCAAACAAAAGGATGACAATTTCCTTGGAACTTGAAATATTTTTTAGAAGGAAAAATAATGAATCATACGAAATGTACGTATGTATAAATATTATTTATGGCATGTAATTTAATGTTATGGCCAAGTATTTAGCTTCATTATAAAGTTAAGGGTTTGCCATTATGTTTTGAAAATGAGTTTGTCCAAGTGACCGCCGCTGCCAGCTCGAATAACTTCCAGCCGAGAGGCCCAATTTTCGACCACTCTTTGCAGCAAACGTGGCCAACGAGGTATGTCAGCCAAATATTCTCATCCAAAGCGTCAGTCATCTTGGACTTATCATCGTAAATGGATAAAAGTCCAGAGGTATTTTGGAGGCATTTACCCAAAATTTTCTTCAATAAAGTGATCGTTTCATTGGTTGTATGGCATGTAGAACCTTCTTGTTGAAAGAAAAAAGGTACGTGCAAATCAACATCACCACGTCAGGCATGAAAAACTCATTAAACATGGCTTCCAAGCATTCACCATTGACTACTATTACTATTTAAAACAAATGTGGAAAGGGGCTCTAGTTCACTGCGTCCAACTAGTGCGGCGACAGAGCTACTGCCTGGTGTTGGTTTCGAAAAAGAAGAGAATACAAATTCATGTGGATCGCCAATCGACCATAAGGGCTTTAATTTCATACAACACGAAGTTGGCTGTGGTCGTGTGCTCGCTATGTAAAGCTGCGATAAAATCACTGCCTGTAAAAAGGAGAGCTAACATTTACTAGATGCCAGTTCACATCGACATGGAAGGTAACAGGCTAAGGAGCTTTATTCAGAGAAGTGATGAAAATGCAAAAAAAAAAAGAACTTCGTGAGGCTAATAGATTTTATGAACGAGACATGGCACTCTTGTCTTGACTCGTCGAAACTATGGGCAAATCTAGTGACGCTAAAGCTAGAAACTTTTAAACGGACATTGCCTTTTGGTTTCATATGCTTTTAATATAAGCCTGATGGAGGATAAGAAGTGCAGGAAATGTACAGAATGTGGGAGACAACAGAGTACGTCTTGTGTGAGTGTCCAGCATAGGCAGGTACTTACTTGGTACAGAAAAGCTACAGGACCTTAAGTCGCTACTACTTAATTTACGAAAAAACAGCAATGCTTTTGACACTAGAGACCCATTTAAGATTGCAGCAGTGCTGCTTGTTCGTATATAGGCTGTCTGGCTACACTATGGACGTAATATCCGCTATGTAAGATCCGATGGGTCAGCCAGTTCAACCTAATCTTTTATAGCTTATTTTCTCCTTTCATTTTTCAAAACTCAACTTTATAACTTCAAAAATACTTATTGTGTTTCCAATACCACGTTTAATTGGATGTATGTATATATATTTCACAAGACCGCTAATACACGTATTACCGCCATAAATCAGTGCTGCAACCATAAAACGATTTAAATAATTTCTAACTTCCTACTCACAAAACGCTCATAATTCCAGTACTCGCTTGCAATCGCCGCCAATAAGCTAAGCCTGACTGCAAGCGAAGGAAACATGTGAGGTTTATTGCAAAAAAAAAAAAGCACCAACAACTCTTGTGACAACCGAAGAAACAAAATAAAACATGGCTAAATAAAAGCAAACAAAAAAGGTAGACAAATAAATTAAACTAACGTTTAAATAATAAAAACAAAAGTAATACTTTTACAAAGCATACCTGAAATAACAACAACAATGTGTTGCAGTGTGCGTTTGAAGCCTGCAAATGCTAGTGATGTTGAAAGTCGTTCGGCTAGTTTGACAGCACCAAGCAAGTTAAGCGCGGAGAGAGGCTTTAAGCTTCACAAACTCAGCGTTACCTGAGAGAGCTGGTGTGCAAGGGAGTTCAGAGGTTTTTATTATGAAAATTAAAAGAGACATTTAAACGTTGTTAAAATTATTAACCATTTTGAGTTTAATAAAAAATCTTTAAACGTGGTAAAAAAAGCAAGGAAAATTTGATTGTTATAAGCGAACCTTTGCAAAAAAACATTAAAATGTGTTAAATTTATGCTTTTAAAATGCGCATATTTTTAATTAATTCCTATTATTTTCCTTACTGCATTTAGGGTGCTATTTTTTTAAATTTGTATTTTCTGCTGTAATAAGCATTAAATGGTTATTAAACGTATTTCATAACCTAAAATGTTTTGAAAAACCAAAGTTTCTAGGTTATTTGGAGGTTTGTAACCACTGAAGCGAATTTCTTCCGATGTACTTTTCTCATTTAAGTTGTGCCTCTTGATGTTCTTCCAACAATTGAAGGGACTTACACTTTATTCGAAGTCGCCTCCGAAAGGCAACTGGATTTGTGCGAGGAGCTTTTAATTTCTCGTCAGAAATATACACTCTGAGTTGTTTTAAGCAAATAACAGTGCTATATACATTCACCCAGATATCACTTTATATGTACAAAAATCCAAAATTGAACCAAACTTTTAATAACTTTTCGCTGTTTAAAAGATCATTATGTGGTTCGGGAAAGGAAAAAATATCAAGTCAATCAAATTACTTTTAATTTTTTTATATGAATTGGTCGATCGGTCCACTTCCCTTAAGAAAAAGTAGTGTTAATGATAATCCAAGCAAAAATCACCAATTTGAAAGTAAAGAGAACCATGAATTCAAGATCAAAATGATCTAAATCAGTTTTCATAAATGTTAAAGCTAAAACAAAATATGTTAATATAAAATAGAGTTGAGTATACAAATGACTTTTTTCTTAATCTCATTGGGGAAAAAAGTTACGAAACTAAACTATGCCAAAACTGAGATTTAATTTTTCAATTACAAAATGTCCAGAAGCATTTTCTACTGTAAGATTGTAATTTGCGTTTATTATTTAAAATTTATTTGTGTAAAAATGGTATATTTGCCAAAAATTTTTATTTATAAAAATTAAAATGTTTTAATCAAACCTCTTACTGTCTAAAAAATATATATTTGAAAAAGAAATTGTGAAATTTTCGCGGAAACTATTCTCGACTCCGCCAATGCGTTGTTATTTCCGCTGACCAAGCAGAAAAAAAGGTGAGTAGAACTCATGAGAGGATGATCCAGTTTGCTTATACGAAGGAGAATACAAAATAAATTGGATTGTTGGTAATTTTTTTTACAACAAAAGCAAATTTTTGATAGAAAATTTTTAATATTTGTGATTAAAAAAAATAAAATCCTTCGTTTAAAGCTTCATAAATTCATAAAATTCATCAAGATCGAACTTTCGAAAACACGGTCCCGAGAAACACGCTTGGCCGGATCAACTTGAAAATTTTGAATAACATTCTCGAGATATTGTAGAAATTAATAAAATAATAAAAGCTTGACATTTTGACCTAAGTATCCCCTTAATTAATTCTTAAAAAAAATCTGTCTTTTTAAGAAAATTACAGCGAAATCGCACCTTTTATGAAATGAAAGTCGAAGTCATTAATTTTAAATACTTTTTTAAATATCAGCTGCATTGTGTTAGCAAAAATATTTTAAAAGTAGGACAATTACATATATTTTTATAATATCTTTTTGCACTAGCCGAAAATTATTCATTATTTTTGTAAAAAAAAAAAGTATAAAATTTTCTTCTAGTGTCAGCAAAGCATTTTTGCAATAACAATTTACATAAGCAGTTTATTTAATTAGTGAGCGTTTTTTATATGTGATTTCAACTTTTTTGGAAAATTTTTAATAAAACTTACCAAAATAATTATAATAAATTTTAGCAACAATTTATTGATATTTTGTGAGGTTAAAGTTGATTCACAAGCTGTTGTTGTTATTACTTTAAAAAATCATTTTAGTACATATTTTCTGGTTTCTTTATTAATTTTATTGCTAATTAATTTTGCTGATTTGATTTATTTGTATATTCAAAATTTAGCAACACTGATTTTTAGGTATCTATGTATGTATATTCCACGCATTATAACTTCTATTTTCGAGCTTACATTATTTTTCGGTACCTCATTTCGAGTTATTTCATAATTTGCAATTTTCCGTTATTATTGTTTATTGTTTTATTTTTCGTTTATTCGTATTTTATTTATTTACTTTCAACTCAATTTTTACATCAATTTATATTAGGTGTGTATGTATGTATGCCTGTGTGTTTTAGGGTATGTATTTATGAGCTCGTATAAGCGCGTGGACCGCTTTTAACGGTTATAATAATAATAACCAAAAATGCTCACCGACACTTTCCATATTCGCTATGCTTGTAGGCAAATCTATTATTTCTTATTTTTGGTTATTTTTGTATGTAATGTGTATATATATATGTATATACATATATTTATCGAAATCTTTATTTTTAGTAAACTTTCAAGTAGTTTTTCTTCAATTAATATTTGCAAAATTCTTTAGAAAAAAAATCTATGTATTTAATTTTTTGTTGTTTTCGAAAACTTAAGGAAATCACTTTTAATTGTTTGAAAATTTCAATGCAAAGAGAAATTAGAATTTACTATGAAATCAAGAAAAAATTAAATTGAATTATTAAACGGAATTCATTATTACATATGTATGTTTGTATGTATGTATGTACAAATGAATAGAAAGAAGGAAGCTGGAAAAATCAACGAATTTAGCGAGTTGTGAAGTGACAATATTTGCTTAATTAGCACGTTCATTTCAATGTGGTGATGACAACAACAACGAAACATATAACAATAATATTAAGCAACAATAGTGCAAACACAAATAACGAAATTGAACACAAAACTGAACTTAAACATACGAAAAAAACCCGAAATTTTCATACAAATAATAATTGTATAATTAATTGCATTGCAACGAGTATTTCACATGCATACGTGTATGTATGTATATAAGTGATTTCTCAAATGACTTTTAACACAAACTCGCGAATCCGACTCTAAAGCACAGCGCGAAAAGTTCTCATCAGCAAATTTTTAGATTTCTCAACACTTTTCGCACTTTAACTACACAAATTTTTTAGCTCATAAAAATTTTCCACATTTTTCCCATTTTCACACTAAAGCGCGAACACATGTGATCGTTGTTGCTGATTTTTACATTTTCCAAACAGAAAATGGAATAATTCGCAGCTGAAACAAATTAGGTTTTTTACTTCTGTTTCTTTGAATTGCAATGCACTTCGATTTCAGTTTCGTTTCGAAAATAAACACCTGAACTCGTTAGTTGGCTGTTTCCTTTTCCGCCAATTCTTCTCCGCCTTTTCTACAAACGCTTACAGCACCTTTTTGTTTTTGTTGCCTTATATTCTTCGCTATAATTTCGGTTTCGGAAAAGAAACAAAAGTTTTACAGACGCGCGCAACCGCACGAACAGAATAACACAACCGCTCGGCACTGTTGTCCACACTCGAATGATTTGCTGCGGTCCAAGCGTGTCTGATATCCAAAGCAGCAGTTGGCGAAGAAACATTAAAAGCGGGAGACCAATTGACGCTCACTCCGCTCGCTCGCCAACACGGCAATGTTTGCTGTTGTTGGGTGTGTGGTGAGCGTTTTGTTTATACTTAGCTGCTCCATAATTTGAGTTGCACAGTGTTGTTGTAATTTGACTTGCGACTCTACAAACGTATTCATTATTAATTATCGAGGAGCATAGCAAGCGTGCGCTGACGGAGAGCGAGAGTGTATCCAATGACTTAGCAATGAGCTCCAACCCGCTATACGTCTTTCAATGTTTGGTTTGTTTGCCTGCTTTTTTGTTTGATCGTCCAGCAAGGGAGCTAAAAAGTGTTTGTTAGTGGAGACTTGCAGTACAGTGGAGCGATTTGCTTGCTCTGTTGCCGAGTTCATAGAGAAACATTTCTAGTTTTCAAAGTAAATCTGGCCGTTGTTAAGGAATGTGAGATCGAATTTGGATGAAAAGCTCGAAAGAAAACGTAACCAGTCATTTTGAGAGCATGATTACTAAATGATCAAAGAAATTTCGTCCACTTTTATCAAAGCTTTTGTTTTCTTCTATTTTTAAACCAATCCAAGCGACGCTAACTTGGCTATGTTGTCTGAATAGATCCAAATTTAGAGGAAATCCCTCCAGCACTGTCCTCTTTAAACATTTGACTTTCTCTTAGGGGCAAGATAAGCAACTCCAGTGAACTTAGTTCAGAGCATATTTATTTTTGTATCTATAGCCACTCTATACAAGATAAGGAACAAAGCGTATGGGTCTAGTGGAGTTTCCCAGACAGTCACAACTTTGAAGTCGTAGATAACTTTCTCTGAATATGGATCCCAACAATACCGTTAGACTAGAATTCCAACGCAGAATCACTCTTGCCAACGGGCGGACTAAATATATACATAACTGGCTTTTATAACCGCTGAAGCGCTTTTCGGCTGAGCTTCACCTCCAGTTTGTGGTTTTGTGTCTTTGATGTTTTATAAGGAGCTTTTCTGTTATATCAGAAGTACACTCAGAGGGGTTGACATTCCCTGACAAGGAGCGACCGTAATTACAAAATTCAACTTAATTTTTTATTTAAATTAATTTTCTATAACTTTTGGATGTTGGATCATCGTATCAGGACTTGAACGCTGGTCTTCCGAAAGTTAGCACGCATTGTTAACCACTCGACTACCGCCGCCGCTTTGGATTAAATAGGCATTTGAAAAGTACAGCCCTCTCTCGACGAACAAAAGAACTCTACTCTCATCATTTCCGATCTGCTAAATGGTTGGGAGGCGATGGGGCGATGACAACATCAGATGAGCCGGTATTGGGAGGTTTTTGACAAATTTTTTTGCGCATTGGCAACGGCGAATACCGCAGCAAATAGACCGATGAGATATTCGTTGTTGTCATCTAACCGAGGTCATCTAACGGTTAGTGTCGTACAGAGACTCTCCACACGCAGGGCATCCGTTGGGTATGTTGGGATCGAGCCTGGATAGGTAAGGTAGGTAAGGAGTTTAACCTGCTACAGTATCCAGACCTAAGTTATGCCAACAACAACATGAACCACTCGTGATTTAATGCGACATTTATATCCGGATGAATGAAAATATTCCAGCCTTGAAAGGTTTGGATGCAGTACTGGCCGGTGGAAGAGGAAGACCTTAACTACGTTAGAAAGACCAAGTCGATAATGCGGATGGAATGAATGTCGCGCAATTGTTAACTCAGCTATAATCGCGTAAGCGGTGCCTATGCCAGTAAGAAAGGAGATAGCCACACATCCATCGTAGATCTTTTCAATTAAAAACACTTTTAAACAGTTTTTTGCATTTATTCTACTATTTCGTTCAACCTTAGTCTTCACATTCAACAGGTGACATCTAAAACCACCACCAATACAGCATGTCTATAGGCCTCTTAAAGGCCACACTGTAAACATGAACATCCGGCCAATGAAGGGAAATTCCATACGATTGAACGAAAGCAGTGAAACAAGGCAAGGAGCCGAGCAAATAAAGTGCGAGAGGTGCCTGTGCGAAAAGCATAATAGAACCAGTTTAAATGCAAATGCTAGTACATATATGATTTAGGTACATACATACATACACGTACACTGGCTTGCACTTGATTGATTGGTCAAGTTGTTGTGCTAAGGAATGTTGTTGAGTGAGCAAATAATCTGCCCTTTGAAACAATATTGTACTGGAAGTAATTCTGAGACAATTTCCACTCGGAAAATTCAATGAAATCGCATACAGCTCTACATACGAAGGGACCAACAAAAGTTCACTTAGTTGATGACTTCTAATAAACGAAATTTACTATTTCCTAAAATTCTTACAGCGTTCGGCGTAAGGACGAGATTCGAACGCCAGTCGCAAAAACATAAAACATTTGTAGGAACCGAAATGTAGGAATTGTGAGCGACTGGTAGAACTTGCTTTTTTTGCTAGCAAGACACAATTCCTGCTCTTCCACTGTCCCCTGAAAGGTGACATATTTGGTTTAAGGATCCTTTAAAGTCTTACGGTAAAGTCTGCTCATTAGAGGTGTAATTTCGAGCGGATGTTTAAATTAAACCCCTCGCGAAGGTAGGTTTCGCGAAGGTAGGATTGCAAAAGATCAAAGATTCATAACTACTGCTCACTGTCGGCAAAATGAGATGTAGATGTAAGCTCTCAATCACTACAACATTCCAATAAACTCTACGGCAGACGAGCTTACAAGAGTGGAAACCATTTAACCACAGAAATTTCTTCACACGACGCGGGTTCTCCAATCCCGCCTAAAATCAGGCGAGACTAGTCTAAGTCATTCAGGTCATCTGATGGAGGGTCCAGGAAATGAAGTACATATGTTCGGTATGTCATGGCCAAGTGTGCATAAGTCGACTACAAGATCCCGATCCGATTATTGTTTAGTGGGTCTCCACTTTGAGGTTGAGGCATTATTCTAATCTAATGAATTTTTTCGAAGCCGCAGTGTAATAGAAGAAAGAGTTACCTTGCGTAGTAGAGGTTGAAGAATTTTCCCGCGCTAAAGCGGGAGGCGACTAGAATCCAAACATTTTCGCATTAATCGGGTCCCGCAACAATCCCCAAAATAACTTTGCGGCTGCCACAACACCAGGAGCAAGTGCTGGTCACTGCATCTGCAACTGACACAGCCACCACGCCAACCCAAAATAAAATACTAAGCGAACTGTTGTTATTCCTTCCCATAAGGAACAATATCTTAACCTTTACGCATTTGAAATGAAATTGTGGTCACGAGATATTTATATTTGAGGTTATTTTTTATTCAAATGGAAATTACTCTCTGTACGAAAAATGTATATGTATAAGTACATATGTATGTATATAAATGAGTTATGTACAGAGCTTCCATTCCTTAAATATTGTAAATTCACTAACTTTATGCTTATGTAAAAGTTAAAACAATAGATGCATGTACATATGTATGTATGTGTGTATGTATGTATGTATATTCTTAATAAAATTAAATAAATTAGATTGTGGTCAAAGGTCACTGATAATTTTACTCTTCTAGTGCAAACCTAACCTCAAATAATCTTGACGCATTTCCAACAAAAGTAACGGCATACCCTAAGCTGCTGCCGTACAATCAGTAAGTTCTTGCGAGAAGCTCCATTTTTATTACGAGTAAGCAACTAATTTTAAAATAATAACAATTTTTAGAGAATAGAATAACGCCTACTAAAGAATTTTGCAATGGCAAGTTTAAAATGTTAACAGATAATAATTAATTTTATTACGAAATTTACTTGGAAAACACTCTATTTGTCGTCACTACTATCACACAAACAATATAAATGATTTATTGGGCGTTTTTTTTCTGCTGGCATTGTTTAATCGCCAATCTTTGACGCCCCTTCATTCATATCAAATAATTTAATTGTTTCATGATGAATTGTTGTTATTTTTTTAACATTATACTTTGGCGCATATGGGCATACAGACGGACGATATTCATATTGGTGAAATTCTGTGGAAAAATGCAAGCAAAGAAATTTTCAATTTTCTACTTTTTCATCATTTATTTGAAGCTGCTTTGAACAAACCTTTTATGCAACCACCACAGGCAAGAAGTTAAGGAAAGTGTTCTAAATATTATTCACATTTTTAAGAATTTTCAAGTAACTGTTAAATTTTGGTAATAAAATCATTTCTAAATCAAAATTGTTTATTATTTTTCCAAGAAAATAACCGAAAATTCTTTCCGACAATGATAAAAAAATAGTTACTTCTTTTGAAACAAGTGAATACATATGTACATAGGTATGTACGATGTGTGTTCAAAAAGTATCGCGAATTTTGATTTTTCGCGGGTTACGTATAATCGAATTTCGATTTTTTTGTGGTGTTATGTTGGTACTCATGTCTGTCACTTATGCCGACAAGTTCGGCCATTTTGAATGTTCACTTAATTGTTGACAGCTGCTTTGCTTGCACGTGTTTTGAATGGTCTTCGATTTTTACCTATTCAAAAAATAGATCAAAGAACCTGTATCAAATTTTGTGTGAAAAACGAAATTAAGTGCGCGGATGCATTCCGAATGTTGACTGTGGCATACGGAGAAGCTACTTTGGACGGAAGCAACGTTTATCGGTGGTACAAAATGTTCTCAAAAGGCCGAGAAGATGTGAACGACGCAGAGCGTGCCGGACGCCCGAGCAACAGACGAAAAAATTAATGAAGTGGGGAACGGTCAATAAGGAATATTACCTGCAAGTTATGCGCAATTTGCGCGAAGCAATCCGCTAGAAACGACCGGATTTGTGGAAGAACAAAAATTGGCTTTTGCACTACGATAACGCCCTTGCTCACACATCGTTGCTTGTGCGCGACTTTTTGGCCAAAAACAACACACTAATGATGCCGCAGCCACCGTATTCCCCAGTTCTGGCCCCCTGTGACTTTTTCTTGTTCCCTAAACTGAAGAGGCCCATGAAAGGACAACGTTACGCTACGATTGACGAGATAAAAACGGCATCGAATGGGGAGCTGAACAAGATAAAAAATAATGATTTTTTGAAGTGCTTCGAAGATTGGAAAATCCGTTGGCACAAGTGTATAATATCTCATGGGGATTACTTTGAAGGAGACAAAATAGATATTCATGAATAAATAAATAATTTTTGAAAAAACACAAAATTCGCGATATTTTTTGAACACACCTCGTATGTATGTGTGCATTTGCTTAAAAAATCATGTCTTGACGAAGTATTTTGATTAACTCAAATTGTAAGACTATCAAAAATCGCTGCAAGTTGAAGGAAAGGCCGATCAACTCCTGCTAATAAGGTCTGGTAATCTGCAAAAAATCCTTTATTGCATTCTAAAATTAAGAATGGGACCACGGCAGCTTATAAATAAAAAGGTCGAAGACTAGCAAAATCTCCTTTGCTATCGCTAACCGATTTAAGCGCCAATCATGAATAAGAAAAATCACGAAATAGCTCTTTCCTTGTATTTAATTAATTAGTGAAAGTACCTCTTCTACTCTTTTAAGATGCACACATACACACAACTTACTTACATTTGTATATATGAACACTCGTTGGTGCAAATATTAGTGTTTGCTTTAAAAGATTTTCATGGTTCAATAACTGGCAGAAAATGTTTAGATCGAAAACTCAATTAATCGCATGCGAGTTTAGTTGTATGAAAAGAAAAGCGTTTTGAAAAAGAGAAAAATGTTTGCATAAATTTCTGCATTCAATGTGTATAAATAAATTTCACTTTCGGTTGTTATCTATACGCAAGTATGTAATGTACACTTTACAAAAAAGTAAGTATAAGTCATATATGAATATGTTAAATATACATATGCATATATATACTTACACACATTTTTAATGTTTCAATAATTTACTTGTTGTTATACAAATTTTGCTTGAAAATACAATTTTGATTAATACCTTAAGTATTTTAACGCTAATTTAAGCTATGGTAGGCGAGATTACATACTAGACGCCGACCATCAACCATCAGCCAATGTTCGCATGCGGACTCTTAAAATGTTTACTTTGATTTATTTAGTAGTTAAAGTCCAAACGCGTTCAAACGAGTAATTCACACTCCAATCAATAAGATTAAGCTATGGTTTGGATTTTTTTTTTTTTTGAGTTGCTGCAGACAGAAAGAAAAAGTTTTTAAAATAAAGTTAACTTTTTTGCATTTTTGTATCGTACTTACCCAATAAAGTGTTGCTCATTCAACGATTGTTCGTGCTGGATTTCGAATTAAGCTTTAAAGTCTGAGCAAGCAGTATACTGCTTTTGTAGCTTCGCACCCATCTCGCCCAGTTGTTTGCATGCCTCACGCACCGGCCGATAGTTGCTTGCCAAGACTTAAGATCGTACAGGGTGTCGTTGAATGCGTCTTTTTGGTATGAAATTTGGCAGTTATAACTATAACCTTTTTTGGGAAGGGTGGATATATCAGTACCAAGTTCGCATAAGAGGCCGTTTTACTACCAAATCCAGAGCGGGTAAGGAAAGTCTAAAACATTAGTGCATCTATGTATATTTTTATATACGCGTCATAAAGCGCATTCACAGAGAGGTCCACAATATATGCGGCCATATTGACATAGTTCTTCGAAGTAAAACACAGCGGCTACCTTGGCTATTTCATTCTGCCTGTGAAATATTGGGAAGCATAATATTAAAAGGGATGGGGCTTTATATTATATTTCCCATTGCCGCTGATCTGCCAAGAGAAAAATGCCTATGCCAACTACGATAAGAATATGTTAATGACGAAAGAAATTTTATTCATTTTCACATTTAGAAATTGTTTATGTTACCTAAAAATTTAACTTGCAATCGAATGTTTATTTACTCAAAAAGAACATTTGTGGAACAACAAAAAAATATGTCAATATAAAATCAGGTGTTATTGTTTCGACAGCATTTCAAAATGCGACATCTTTTGGTCAGTAGTGCTGCCAGTGGTTGCCAACACATTTTACTTTGTTCTAAGCGAAAACAACATAGCTGAGAATATGTTTTAGTTTAAAAAATATAAGGATAATAGACTTTATTGCCTTTAGTATTTGTACAGATTAATACCCATTGACGACAAAATTTTCTTCAGAGACTATTTGGAATTCGTGTCTACTTTTCTGTGGAACATCTTTATTCGCAGCCTATACGCAAACCATCAGCTTTCAATAAGTAATATTATTTAGTTAACACAAAATCCAATAGGTGGTGGGTCGCATTCGAATGGTTGGTAGTAGTGGAGGCGTGTAATAAGTATTTTATCCAAAAACGGCACGAAAATATTCGTTTCTGTGAATTTACGGACGCAATAACATCAATACAGAAGAAAATCATTGTTGTTTTTAATAGGTTTTGTGTTGTTTAAAATCTCATAATTCAAATACATCGATGTATGCAATCTTAAAAAATATTTAATTTGTAAATGAGAAGGTGATACGAGGAATTTCTGTGGGTCGTCTGTTGCCTGCTTCTGTCAGTTGCTTTTACCTTATTTTCCACTTGTAATTATCTGGTGTTGTAAGGTGTGCAGCAGCAATGAAGACGTGAAGAGTAGAGCGAATAAACGAGAAAAACGAGACGGTAACGCGAATGCAAACGTGAAAAAATAAAATAAAATAAATTATGTGAAAAATTCCACAGCGACAGCAAATAAAAATTGAATGATAAGTGCAAAATATACGCAACGGTTTTTAAAACGAAAGCAATAGTGCGCAAATGAAAAAAAAGTGTTTGATGGCAAAAGGGTTTGTATTTACCTAAGATTGGGAGTAAAAGTGCAAATAAAATATATGTGTGTGTGTATGTACTTTGCCAATAAGGAAATTTCATTAGCTCGAAAGCAATGCCGCATAATTAAATACTTAAACATCTGGTAACCAACATTGGATTTTGCCGAAATCAAGCACTAAATAAAGCAATAAGGTAAGTTCCAAGCGAAGAATAATCTAATAAAAAGAAAGTGCAGACGTACGTATGTATGTAGGTACCTTAAACATAGGTACTACGGATGTAAAGCTTCCTTTCTACAGCGTCCTATAAATTCACTACGTTTTTATTGTTCAGCTCAATTGTAATAATCAACAAGGCCCCAGTGCCAGCTCTACCATAAAAGTAATAGGCATATGAGTTTAGTACCTGTTTAGCAGTTACTAACAAACGCAATCGGAAGCTGAGTATTGGACACAAGTTAATTACAATTGCGAACTAATCATTAAATTTTCCTGTTCTCGGCAAATAGCACGTTCCAAGTGCGTAAGTAGGTATGCTGACCGACGACGAGTTGGTTGCATCGAGATTCATTCATCAGTGTCACTGACGTACGCGTATAGTAGCATAGTCACAAACAAAAACAACAAAATTACTATATGTTACAGGATGCGATAGCATCGAAATCTTCGTAGTATGTTGTAGATACGAATTTTTCGTAGATTCACCACTTCAACCAATACATCTTCGTCAATTTACACACTTTCGACGACATAAACGACTTCATTGGGTGGCGGGTGCGCCTCAAAGGAGGAGATCAACCACATATACATATGTGTGTGTGTACTTACAAACATGTTTGTTGGCTGGCATGTGATGAAGGGGAAAGTGCGTATAGCTCTGTGCGCAATTGCTCATCCTTTTTCACAGCGACCGTCATTCTGTGTATATTTGTGTGTTTACAATGGGCGCGCCTATGACATTTTTTTGGTTCTTTGAGGTTTTTTATACATAATATTTTCTTATGAGTGCGCTTTAAAGAAAAAATTCTCTTGTAAAATTATTATTTTTGTTTTTGACGATAAGAGAATTATTACAGTAGTTCGTTTGAAATCTTATTTGTGTTGAATTGTGCAATTATTTATTTTCTTAGTGAAAAAATAACAATAAAAGGGAACTATTGTGATGCAAAGTATATGGTATATATTAGTAACTAGTATAAAATGAAATAAAGAGAACAATGCGTATTCATCAACATTTGCATAAACATAAAGAACCAAAACGCCACTGTTATTTTTTAATTTTTTTTTTATAAATTCGGTGCAAAGTTATAATTTTTTTATTATCGCTGTGTTTTCACTTTTTGCTGTTAAATTTGGTTTTGTATGGCATTTTCTAAGGTCAACTAGATGATATTTCCAAACAAAAAAAAAAAAACGAATGAAAAATTAGAAACTAAAGCAGATTCATAAAGACCACTAAATGCAATGAAAACAAAACAAAATTCAAATTCATAGACAAACCTTTATAACTATATACACACATATGTACATATATGAGCAAGTGTATGTGGTTATAGATAAATATGGTCAAGTCTGTTTTACGATATTTGGAAGTATAAAAGGAAATTACACAAAAACGTAAAACGCGTTTTTTTTTATTTGTGAGAGTAGTGCCTATAACCTGTTTTTACAATAACAAACAACTATTTATGCATTCAAATAAATGCCACTGTTCACTGATTTTGGTGTTGACGATGATTGTATTTAGGTATTTGGCGATGTAACTTTTCATATTATTTTATTTTTATTACCAAACAAATATTACTGATTTATATTTGAGAAGAAAATAACATTGGGACTTTAATTTTATTTAACTATGATCTTACAAAATCAAAAAAAGGCAAAAGTCAAAATTTGTAAAATAAAAAAGAGTGTAACTTTTGGTTCTGCGACTAAGTTACGTTTGACATGTGGCATATGTATGTGTGAATGTGTGGACACACTTCTAGCTGGTTAACCGACCGGCAATATAAAGCAGCAGCCTCAATTAAAACAACATATAAATATAATACTGCCTGAATTATGCATACACCTTTGTCCATATGAACCGGCATTTATTGCTTGTACTACAAATACAATAAATGTATGTATTAACTGCACGACTACACACTAAGCACGAGAGGAATAGTCGGCATTAATCGATTCGTATAAAGTTCGATAAACAACTGTTTATGTATGCTTTACCATTCATTTTATTGCTCAACTGTTTTATACTCCTAAAAAATGAATCGTAGTAGAAAAATATAATTTTATATTTTTACTATTTTTTTTTTTTGTTTTTTGTATTCCACATTTTTATTGTAAAATCGCCGACCACTAAATTCGGAAATTCATTTTTTGCTTTTCACGATTATCATGAAATATTGCCTGTTTTTGCAAAAAAAAAAAAGCAAAAAAAGGCAAACCGCATTTGCCGATGGAATGCCAAAAAAATATTAAAACAAAAGAAAAATGAGCAATGCATGTGTGGGAGTTTTGTGTACAAATATTTATGTACAAAACAAATAACCGCAAAAACAAAAACTCGGTTTATACACCTGCCCATGAATGGCATTAAATTTAACGAAAAGCGATCGCGCCACACAACAATAAACACGAATTGCAACGAAAACGTTTAAAAATATTTGCGTGAATACAAAAGCAAATACACTTGCACATGTTGATTGCAACGCAGTATTTCGGTATTTGCAATGGAATGAAAACTACGTAACGCGAGGTACATACATACATACATGTTCATTACACAGGTGTAATTTGGAGTGGAACCGCTGCATAAGGAATAATGAATTTAATTCACTTATAAGTACTTTGTATGAATTACTGTGTTTCATAGTAACAAGTTATACGTTAATTATCTATGTATGTTACTGATGGAGAAAGGTGCTTGAAATACAATTTCAAATATTAAAATTTAAATTTTTTTAACAAAATTTGTTATTTATATTAATAAATGATAAATTGCTCAGAGAAAAAATTCAAAGGCAGATCTATGTGTATGCGAATTGTGATTTTCCAATTTTGAAAAAAGAAAAATTGCATCTTCGTTTAATTTTTTCTTCGCAATTTTATGGACCAAATACATTTTTGCATTATTTAACTGACAGATTTAATTCCTTTTGGAAATTCATGTTGTTTTTATAAAATTTAAATTTAACTTAAACTTAAAAGTAATTTCTGCAAGTGTGTTCCCTAAGCTAAATAATGATGAAGTGGGTATTATATTATTAAATAAAAAATATGTATTATTATTTTTATTGCAAAAAATGTAGAATATCTCACATTCTTACGCATTAAAAAATATTGAAATTTAAAATATTAATTTTTCATTATGATTATCTTTAATAAGAATAAAGGAATGATATAAATAGGTTTAAATAATAATAATAATTGAAAATAAGTAAAAAAAAAAACTGTTCAAATTACTTAAGTATGTTTTCAAAAATATTAAATATTTTATAAGAATTCTTCAAATTTACAACATTTTGAAGATTTTTGGCTACCTGCGGTTTCATTGCCAATTCCTATATATTATTTTATAGTATTTTCTTATTTTATTTTTTAACATTAAAATTTTCGTACATTACTGATAAGCTTTAGAACCACAAGAGATGAGCGTTTATTTATTGCTTTTCCTTATTTGCCAGGTGATCAATGTAAAAAGCACATTTTTGAGGAAATTTTTATTGCGAGTCTCTCATTTATTTACGTATTTTCATAAATTCGTGCTCTTTTTAAAAACACTTCATTAGCTGTATGTAATACATACATACATATATACATACATATGTATTTAAATTAGAAACATATTTACTGCATCTTACATGTCGGAGAATTTGCTGAAACGATCATTTTATATTACGTTTGCCCCTCTTCCACTTCTTCCCTTGGCCGGCAGTTTAAATTAAAATTTACATCTTTATTAAAATTACCTTGCCAACGATTCTTCTCAAACATAGAGGTCGTAAACATCATTCACATATACATACATACATATGTAGATATGTAAATATGTAAATGTATACTTTTGCTGCTACTACTAAATGAAAACAACAGTCAACAACATAGAAATATGTCGCAGCTGCCATTATTTTCAC